ATTGTAAATGCAATCACTTTCTGAAAGGATGCTAGGGCTACTTCCCTCTTAAAGATTCATCTAAAGTTCTTAAAACCAGTATTTCGAATATTATTCTCAAAGGGAAGTTTTGCCTTTTGAAATTATCTTCGCATTGCACTGAGTTATTGGTGGATGTCGCCTTAAAAAAAACTTCACCCATTTTTCACCTGGATGATTGTCTTTAAATGGATTTTTCCTACCAGCTCCCGTTTGGACGTTAAAAACCGCAATAAGATAATAACTAAGCTAATTATTAGCACAAAGGCCTGCAACGAAATTTTCTATCCAAGCTTTTATTATTATATTTAGTTGTTATATTTAATCAATAAACATAGTTTATTAAGGTGTCTAAGGTATCATGTAATAACTAATCACTACATTTATAACGATGAATAATTAATAAATTATTATTATAATTCTTTACATAAATTTAGCAATTAAATTTGCATTTTGAAATGAAATTGTTATAGGAACTATTCATACAACATTTAACTGAATTTTAGGTGTCCTTTATATCGCAGAACTACTAATTATCCATGTAAAATCATATTTCACACATGCTGTTTATTCACTGGGGAATCTATTCCCAGTGAAGAAACATGCCTGTTCCTTCACTGGTTAGAAGTTGTTTTTTGTACTTTTAACATAATTTTGATGTATAATATGACTAAAAGTACAGGAAAATTATAAATTTTCTTTTATTTTCATTAACTTGAAAAAAATCCCAATGAAGGAACATTTGTTTATTCCTTGGTTTTTCATCGTTTGGTAATCCAGTTAATAAGCACCCCCTAATCTCAGTACTTGCTTATGTTAGGATGCTTGAAATAAATAAAACGTAACTCCAATAACCATATTTTGAATTCTCTTTTTCACAATGAGAAAAAAGAAGCATTATTATATGCAATTAATTGTACTTTAAACGGATAACTACCACCACTGACCTTATAATTGTGTCAAAGAAACAAGGCGTTGAACAGATACTAACAAAATTAAAACTTTTTTCAGAGAAGACTTTAAGACCAGGTAACTCAATGCATTGTTAGATGACTTTCTATTGTTAGGTAGTAAGCTACTGTTACCAATCAATCTAAATTAAAACGTTTAAAATCTTATTTTTAAGAAATATCTATGAAATGTTCCTTCACTGGGGTGTGTTCCATCACTGGTTGGTTTACCCTATATCGTCTTAATCTTAAAAGAAATTTCCGGAAGTGTTTCACAAGTGTTTCGCATAACTATTTTACCAATTATTTAATTAAATTTTGACATTTTTAAGAAACTTATTCTTTACCCTTTTACGTTTATTATTTCTTCATTTATATACTAATCAATTTTTTTCAGTTCTTTAATTTAGGTTTTCCTTAACGTAAAGCTCCTTTCTAAATTATAGACAAGTTTTCTTAAAAAGAATTATTGTCTGCTAGTTAAAAATAAAACCTTGTTAAGAAATTAAAAACATTCCGCTGTTTAAAATTATTTAATGCAAAACAGCTGATTATTTACTAAGCATACTATTTTTTTTTGAAAAATGAGTATAAATTATTGATTGTCTTTTTTTTGTTTCTCGTGACTTCAACATAGATTATCTGAAATAGTTTTGATATTTTATAAGTCACTACAAAGAGTATAAAGATACAAAACATAAAAAGCTGTCGAATACGTAGCCAAATTTTTAAGCGCCTTAAAATATCTCAGTATCGTATATATAAATGTCGTCCTAACACCTTAGTTGTGAAATTAAATTTTTAATCATCTGACCACGTGTGATTCACTAATTATTTCATTATATCTTTTACTCTTTCTTTATGATACCAAGTAGATTTTTTTTCTGATAATATACTAAACTATTTTGTTTAATTTTTTACTTTAGCATGATTTCCAAGATATTATTGTAGTATAATTTGTTATCAGGAAAATGCCTTATTTTGTTAAGCAGAAAATAGTAAAAATTGAAATTTGTAAGAAGATTCTGAAGCCTGAAGATTCTGAATATTTAATTGTGATTTTGATTATTAGGAAATTCTAATTAATATTTCTCTTTCTAATAATTATCTTTATAATGGAAAACATTTTTTTATTAAAATTGATGGAATACCTCAAGGATTTAATTTTTCCTAATTTCTGGCTAACTTGTTTTAACACTATAATGGAAAGAAGAAATTATACTTCAAGTATCAAATTAGGTTTTAAAATTATTAATGACTAGCCGCCTAAGGCGGCCAGCTGTCCGCCCCGCTAAAGGTTTTCATAAATAAAGTTTTTTAAAACATAGCAGGAAATCTGAAGATTAGCGGACAATTAAAGTGTTCCTGTCCTGCAATTTTGTCTTCATATCCAGTTCTGCTGCAGATGTGTTATAGCTCATGAGGATGTTTGAAGATGTAACTTTGCTATGGTAACCTAAGGTCTATGGTAACCTAACCTATAATATAACTATCAGGTGGAGACTTGTTTTTTTTTTTTTTAAAAAAAAGACCTCGGAAATTGTAAAATCATACAAAAGTTGCTTTCGAAATCATCATTGGCCAATAGCTGAAAATTAAAACGCAGTTAATAACATATTTAAAAAACAGCAATAAAATGAAACTTGTGTCAGTCAGCATACAGATAGTATATAATTCTTCCTATTCTTGCAAAACTTCTTTATAAACAATATTTTTAGTTTTTCCATTTGGTGCCAATAAATATAAGTTCTTTTCATCACCAACTCTTGAGCAGCCAACATAAAGCTGTCCATGTGAAAAGCAAGGCTCCTGCAAGTTAAGACCAACAACTTTTAAAGACATAGCTAAAACGCTTAAGAAAAAAAAACTTAAATGCTAAATACATGAAAAGAACACGAAAACGAATTAATTTTTTATGGTATCAATTTCTATTTCTATATAATTTTTTATGGTACCTATTTCTATATCGCTAAAAAAATTATCGTCTTCGCTTAAGAAAAAAAAATAGAGCGTGGAAAGAAGAAGAATAACTTATTATAAAAATTAAGAACAGCGACAAATATATCAAAGCTAAGCGTTCTATTTACGTATCGAATATGTTGCCATATTTTTAATACAAAGGTTAAACTCTTATCCACTTTGATAAATGTAAACTAATGCGAACCTTACAATTAAATTATTAAATCCTTCGTATATAATTGGTTTAAGTTGTCGAAAATTAATATTTTAATTGTAAGGTTCGCATTAGCATACATTTATAAGAGTGGAGAAAAGTATATGCATTTTTTAATAGTTTTTTGAATATGGCTCTATGAAGACGAAAAATCATAAATTTTCTTACAAAATGACTGATAACTTAAAAACTAATCCAAATTTTTGAAAAAGAAAGAAAATACTTCTTCATTATGTCAAAACACAATTATGTGCCGAGTTTCGTGCCTGGGCGAGGCTTCAGGGGCGATATATTGTGATTACAGACACACAGAAAGCCGCGTTTATTATTATGTATTAGAAAGTTTTACAGCTGCCTAGGCCAATAGGCCCATACGCCAAATACAATGAAATACATTAAAATAGGTCAACATACCCTTATGTATAAAATACAAAAAATACCTAGAAGAATCGGGATGGCAGCAGACCATTTACATAAATTAACATAGTAATAAAATGTTTAAAAATATTAGGTCAACAGACCCTTATAGCCTTAAAAAATTGTCCTATTTTACATAGCATTTTGCCTTTGGCAAGGATAGAGACAGTTAGAGGAAGGTATAAAATAATACATACCCTGACCACCAGTATAACTGGGATAAAAGTAACAAAGAGACATTGCTCGACAGGGTTCTACAAATGCGACAACTATCAAGCAAAGGTGACACCAGAGTGATTAAACATTGAAAATGTCAAAAAAGTTGACGAGTGGGAGACAAAAGTACAAAAAAAAAACTTACAGTAGTACAATGTAAGAAAAACACAACCACCAATGTTTAAAATAGGGAATTAAAATCATTCAACTAATCATTAGCCAAAAGGGCAAGGGTAAAACCATTAGTCAGACCAGCTGACATAATATGTAAAACCAATTTAAAGAAAAGGGTAAAGTATTTAAAATCTACAACAAGATAAAAGTAAACGCGCCCTGAAGGCAAAAACGCCCAGGGGTGCCAAAGAACAGTATAAAATCTGAGGTACATGACTAAAAAGACACTACAATAAAACAGGAGTAAAAAAAGCAAAAAGACAGTTTAAAACAAACAAATCCTGTAAACATGACAAAGCAGACTAAAAACAAGACAGTAGATAATAATTAGATGGTAATGTAGTAAAAGGCAAAAATGGTAAAATGGTAAAGTTGGCAAAAATGGACAAGTGGTCCAGATAAAAGGGAGTTTGGCAAGGCGACAATCAATAACAAGATTAAAAGATATTAAAAGTTGTTATTATTATTTTGGACCAACACCTCCTCGAGCGTAGTTTTAATAATTTGTTTAATGATATTACGGCAAATTATATTGGCAAAAATTTGATGTTTGTTCTTCTCGAGGAAGTGTTGTTGTCGGAGCGTTCGGAACCGGGAACAATGATATAGAATATGTTCCACTGTTTGGGGTTGATCGCAGTTGTTACATTTATCATCCTTATTGAAAAACTTCCTTTGGTAGGTCCCGAACACTCCGTGCCCCGTCAGGTATTGTTTAAGTAGAAATTTGATTGAATTCTTGTAGTTGACGGGGTCTTAATAAACTCAAAAGTCTGCCGGCCCTTATCAGAACTGTACCAATTGTACTGCCACCTTGGCATTGAAATCCGCTTGATTTCGGTCTTTGCTTGCCTAGGGGTCCTCAGAACTTGGAGATCTATAATCTCGGAGCCAATGGCCTCCTTAGCTGCTTCGTCGGCCTCCTCATTGCCCTGGATCTCCACGTGGGCTTTAACCCAATTCATTGTAATACCTCTGTGCCAATATATTTTAATGTTTTCGATCAGTTTTGAACTTGGTTCTGGGTCAGCCAGGGCCTGGAGGGAAGACAATTAATCTGAAAAGATAGTAGCCCTATTGATATTATTATTACTGATCCAGATAAAGGCGGATCTTATTGCCATTAGCTCTGCGATGAAGATATTAGTATTGTCTGTGACTCTGGTGGAGGATTTAAAAATAGTAATACCATCCTGTTTGATAATCATTGCATGTGACGCATGGAAAATTCCAGGTGTGTCCACCTCCATCCGAGAGCCATCAGTATAGATCTCCACCCCCTGGATACTAGGGGCACAATATCCCCAGGGCAAGGAGCGATAAAGAGTTGGGTGCTCCCGGGGCGGCGTATCAAAATTCAAAGTGCTGTCGAAATCGGGAGGTAGTATATGCATAAGATCTCGTAATCGCCATCCCCATCTCACCCTCTTGGTATAAACATCCTCTATAACCTTAAGTGTTATTGGATCCACCCCCGCCAGTATCTGGATAGCCTCAGTACTAGTAGTAGCGTAGGTTTTAGTCAAGGTTAACAATGGAATCCTCTGAAGGCTATTTACTTTTTCATTTATTTTACTATTGTTTCTGTACCAGACACTGGCGGCATAAAGGATGATTCTCTCGCTTGCCTGGAGATATATTCGTTTCAAGATTTGGGGTCTGAGTCCCCAAGTGACTCTGGCGACTCTTCTGATACCCTGGTTAAAATTTGTGATTCTATCTCTAATATCGTTTAGATGTGGTATCCATGTCAGACCCGGGTCCCAGGTGACGCCAAGGTATTTCATTGTCTTAACATTTTTGACATTACACGAATCTGTAGAATTAAACTTGATACAAGGTAACCGGCCGATTTTTTTATTACTTTTGGGGAATGTTAAGAGCTGTGTTTTCTCTTTAGCGAATTTTAATTTATTCCCTTCGACCCAGTCTGACATGCAAGTAAAAATATGAGTCGCCATTTGGTCAAAGCTGTATAAAACTGGACCACTTACCAATAATAAGATGTCGTCTGCAAAGGCGATTATATCGATATCATTATGGCTAAAATCATTAAATTGTATAAAATCAATGTTTAAAACTATATTAAGAATGTCGTTAATTAAAACAAGCCAAAGTATAGGACACAGGGAGGAGCCCTGTGGCACACCAATGTTTAAGTTTCTACTAACGACAATGTTTCCATTGCCATCATAAAAGTTTGCCGATCTCTCGTCTAAGAAGCTAAAAACAATAGAGACTAAGTTGTCCGGTAAAACACATTTATTAAGCGCTGTTTTGATAACTGTTCAGTCGGCGCAATTAAAGGCGTTTTTCTATGTCCAGAGCCACCCCAATTGTATGTTTGTTCTCCAGTTTTTTAGTGTTGACGAAATCAACCACCCTTTTGAGTGCATCATCGGTCCCCCTCCCAGCCCTGAAGCCAAACTGGTTATCGCTTAGTATTTCTCTTTTTTCCAAATGGTAAGTCAGTCTTTTAATAATTAACTTATCTAGGATTTTGCCCCAGATTGCTAGGAGGGAGATCGGGTGGTAAGAACTCGGAAGACTGAGGTCTTTATTTGTTTGGAGGATTAGGGTGACTCTGGCAATCTTCCAAGAGCTGGGAAAGTATCCCAACTCCAGGCATTTATTAAAAACAGTTAATAGCCAGTGTTTATTAGTGTGAAAGATCTCTTTAAAACTTTCACCTGGTTTATTATTATGTATAGATGTATAGATTTAATTGTCTTTAATTTTTAAAATTATATAATTTAGTAAAACGATATTTACCTAGCGGGATAAATCTTGTTTCGTAATCATTGATGATAATATTAATTTTAATTTTTTGAATTTAAGCACTAAAAAAGCAGAAAATAACAACATTGTAGAGTTATACGTTAAAATGAGTTATTATTTTAATATAAATAAAATAATTACTTGTATTTTTAATGTTTCTAAAACATTTGTTTTGGCGTGAGCACTTCGTAGATTTACTAATGCGGAGAGATAGAGAAGAAGATCTAAACACTTGTAACATGCTGCCAACCATGAGTACTGAAGGTGAAGCCATAGAACATAATACACCTACTCCTTACGACGTGGAAGTAGCGTTGAGGAGGCTAAACAATAATAAATCAGCTGGACCTGATGGCTTAAAAGCCGAACTCTTTAAAATTGACGAAACGAAGCTAAACAAAGCTATATATAGCTTGATTTGTTGTATATGGACAAAGGAACAAATGCCCACTGTGTGGGATGAAGGATCCATTTGCCCTATATACAAGAAAAGTGATAAACTCGAATGTGGAAACTACAGGGGAATTACCCTTCTAAATATTGCATACAAGATCTTCTCCATTATTTTATGCAAGAGATTGGAGACCTACACCTCGGGAATCATTGGAAATTACCAATGCGGATTCCAGAAAGGAAAAACAACGACTGACCAATTGCATACTATCAGGCTGATCTTGGAGAAAACCAGAGAGTATAACATTGACGCATACCACTTATTTATTGACTTTACAGCTGCCTACGACAGCATCAACCGAGGAAAACTACTTGAGGCTATGTTGGAGTTTAAGCCTTGATCTCTAGCCACAACAACCTGAAAATCGAAATAAATAACAGAATTTTCTTGGCTAACAGAAGTTTCTACGGCCTCAGAAACCAACTTAAATCCAAGTTCATCAGTGTGAAGCCAAAGTTAAACATCTACAAAACTTTAATCAGGCCTATAGTTACGTATGGAAGTGAGTGCTGGACCCTAAACAAAACAGAGGAGGAAAAACTGCTAATTTTTGAAAGAAAAATTTTGAGGAAAATCTTTGGATCTCTTCAAGAGAATAACGTAAGGAGAATTCTTTACACCACGAAATTTACAAAAAATATGACAAATTCGGTGGGACCGACATTGTGAGAACTATTAAAGCATCACGCATTAGCTGGCTGGGCCACCTTTTCAGAAATTCTGATGCCGTCCCTGCCAAAAAAGTGACTTTTTCCACAATTGAAGGGACGAGACGTAGGGAACGACCACCTACAAGATGGATAGACGACGTTGAAAAGGACCTCAAGCTATTGGGAGTCAACCGCTGGCGGGCCATCTCACCGGACAGGGCCAGATGGAGGAGAATCTGCGAGTCAGCCTTGGCCTGAGAAAGGCTGTTGCGCTTATGAAGAAGAAGAAGAAGAAGAAAGCATTTATTTAAATAATATTTTGAATTCGTTAGATAGAAATAAAATAATTTGTAATAATATTCATTCACAATAAAAGCAAATAGGCAATCTCTTCCACAATTTGATTAAAAACGTTGGTTTCCGACTAATGAAACTAAATTTGCTTAAAATCATGTAGAATAATTGATTGCGTGATAAAACCGATGTAAGATTATAATAGAATTTATTTGCGCAATTTTTTTAATTTTTTGTGAATGATATTTTTATCGGGCAGTGGTGAACTGCGCTCAGTAATTGCCTAAATTATAACCCCCACCCCAAACTGTATGCTGACTGCTCTTCTAGTTGGTTACCTTTCTAATGTAGGCCTCTCTTCTCATTGACATATGAGGAGTGCAATTTTAAAAAGTCAAGCACTATCTTGCCAACCGACTTCTACTTGGTCGAGAAATATATCAAAATATATTATGTCAAGTTATTAAATTTGAGATATTGCAATCAGGATTAGATTTACAATTATAATAAAATACATTTAAAAATGCTTTATCTAAGCATTAAACTAACTATTCTTAGCAAATTTAAAAACTGTTTTAAAAACTTACTTTTTTTTTTCTTTTATTATTTTTTCCCACATATGTTTATAGATATTTTTATTTCACGATTTTTCTCACTAATTTAGCATAGGATATTATTTATGCCATTAATTAATAGATATTTTCCTTCAACATTGATTTTTTTTTTTTGAATAAGAAGAGGTCTCCTTATATGGTAACTTACTACTTTTCATTTTAAAAATCTTTTCAAAATTTTTATCTAATGATAATTTTAGGGCAAAATGCATAGATTTTATGAAAGTAAAATCATTAGCTTAAATATTTTTATGTAAATATGAGTGCTTGTGTAAATCTTTGTCTAATTTAAAGAAGTCAGTCAGTTAGATTTAACAGCCTTAAGAAAGTTTTTTTTTAACCATTTAGTTAACTTGTCCTGGGATGTAAAGCTATATCTAAGAAAATTGATGCTTAAATATTTTTCTAAATATATACTTTCATGTGTATACTTTTTTTTATTTTAAATGTAAACCTTTCAATTAATTTATGATGCTTTTAAGGAAAACATTAATATAAAGTCGAATTATTTTGTCTATTTTTCATTTTTTTTCTCGTTTGAAATGATTTTTAATTCTTCCTTCTTTGTTCATTGTAACTATGTAGTAAATATTTGATTCCAAGCATCCAAAAATTAGTTTTCTACATATATTGAAAATCGAATTTTTACTGCAAAGTTATAGAAAGCAAAGAAGAAAGAATTAGCTAAAAATCATTTCAAATGGAAAAAAAAATGGATGAAATAAATCAACTTTAATATTTTTCTTTAAAAACATCATGAATTAAATAAAAAAAGTATACTGGATTTCTAAGTTTCTGATCGCTTCTGTTAGTGTTGGCATAATTTAAATCACTTGATTTTAGTCATGATTAAAGTCATAACTTAAATTATTTGAATTTTTTTTAAAGAAATAGCTAATTTAAATCAGCTGTAATTTTTTTTAAAAAGCATTAACTTTAGCGAACATAGTTTTTATAACATTAATTATTATTTAATTTAGAAAAAAAAAATATTAATATAAGTTTTAAATATTTTCGTGCAGTATAATTAATAAATACATTCCTTAAGGTAGGAATTTTTAAAAGTCTAATTTAATTGATAACGTATGTTTAATTAGGGACTGATTTTTTTAATGCGAAATAATAAAAGGCATATGCATTGAAATTACTATAATATCCCTTTAATTTTTTCATCAAAAAATGCATTAATGCAAATCAAGAGTGATTTTTTTTTTAAAAAAATGAATCAATAATTTCAACAAAATGATGAAAAAATATTAATTGAAAAAAATATTTCGATACAATTAAATAAATAAATACATTTCTTTTGAATACATTCTTTAAGTCCGATTTTATTGATAACGAGGTTTTCTTTACTAAGAAATATCGAAAGTGATATTCATGTAAATTATTATGTTTCAAAATAGACTATACGTGAATAAGAGTGATATGGAACTTTTAAATGGTAGTTCTTCATTTAATATATTTAAAATAATTGTCTTTCTAAAAACATATTTCAATTACACCCATTTACTTTTTTTGCTAATTGAAATGCAGTTCTTTCACATCTTATTGAATATGTAGTTAGAGTGTATCAAGACTTTCTTAAACCAGAAAGTCGTTTGTTTTTCAGATATGTTATCTTATCTGAACTATTTAATTTTCATTTGGTATCTAGTTGAGAAACTGTCTCCCGATTTTTAACAATCATTATCAAGCAGAGCCTGAAAAATATGATTGTGATTTTTTTTTAACTCAGTAACTCCATTTTTTAACTCCATTTTTAAGAAATATTAACTATTTTAGTTCTATTTCTTTTAAACAATAGTATTATTAAAATCTTTTATCAGATGCTTTGAATGGTTAATTTTAAAAAATCCAATAAATTTTATTTAAAAAAATATCCGATTCAAATCAAATATATACGATTTTGGAATTAAAAAAAAATAATGTTTGCCAACCATGGCTTCTGGTCAAAGTTGTAGTCATTAACTTTTTAGTGTGTTAACGGTAAAAAC